TAGGCTCAACGACAAAAATGTAAGTTTGCACCAAACATACATTTGACCCCAAATGCACTCTAGGCTGAAACGAATATGTACGCAAACGTAATAAGTGATTTTGAGCACGCGGGAATGGTCCGCGGCTCCCAGAAATGGCTGATACAAAATCCAACCCCCCTACGGCTAAAAAGGCGAAAATGAACTTGAAATGGAAATTTTGAAAACCAAAATTAACAAATGATTGGAAATTACCATTTGGCCCTTGGCCACACTTCATACATGATTAATGAGACCCTATAAAGGAATAAAAATGGAATTCCCACACCCGATGCAAACATGGTGAAACAATTACTTGGCATTTTTCAATGTTTTCATAATATTTTATGAAATCATAAGTCACATAGGATACAAAATACATGACATTGACCTTCGGCCTCATCTTATACATGTTAAATACATTGTAAGGAGTGCACTCATGTACACATTACATATATGGAATCAAATATACACATTTTGTCAAATAAAGCTACAAAAGGCATCTCATGCTAACATTTGCATGAAATGGAAACTTAAAAACTATAAGCCATCCAAGGAATGATGAGCATCACGAACCAAGTCTTCGTACCTAAAAAATGTCCCCACTACGTGTTTGAGTAACATAAAGCTACTCGTAGGAGATGAGCATGCATCGACCTAGCATTTTACAATTTTATCACCTTAAGGTGAAACATGTTAAAGGGGCTCATGCCACCTAACGTCTATGTCAAAGTGAGACTTAGGGATCATCCTAAGCTACTCATGCAATTGAAATGAACTACGGCATACAAGCATACATGCTCAAGTACATTAAACCGTATTAAAACATGATACATGACATTCGAGTACACATGCTCACAAGTATACTAAATCATATTAAACGGGATAAACAATATCTAGCATACATACACAAGTATAAGATATATGTATAGAGTACTCATAAATCAAGTATACAAACACAAATATACTAAGCTAAACACGTATGCACAAGACAAGTATACATGGCACAAGTATACTAACATGAAATCCGCATACACAAAACAAGCATACTAAGCGTAAATACACTAGATAGAGTTCAGATACACTAACAAGGATACAAGTTCAAGTATACAGTTTCAAATATACTAAATGAGATCAAAATATATAAGCAAGCACCAATTCTCAAGCTACAAGTAATCTATGATTAATAACTTGAAATTGAATATGAAATCAAAGTAGAAAGACTAGGAAATGCGGTCTCTAGACCAAGCAAGTGTTTTCGGGTAATTACGACCCACAAGGCACTACCTAGTGCACATATGCATAAGTTATTTCGGGCAATTACGACCTACAAGGTATTACCTAGTGCGCACTTATGACTTAGAAGACTCTTGTCTCCATACTAGAGTCAAGCCCTAGCCATCACGTGACATATGTCCTTACAAGCTTTCCAAAATCAATAAGTTCAAAACTTATACAAAAATCAATAAGTTAGACCAAACTTATGCCAAATCCAATAATGCATAAAACCATCTTCCATGCACAAATAAGATTGAATCCACACAAACCATGTCCTAGAATTCAAGTCTATATAGCGTATGACATGTCAAGTCTCCAATATGCAATTTATACACCAAAACAAGAATATTTTACAATAATTGAGCCACATTACCACACTAAGCCACAAGTACTAAATAAGCTACAATTTAGTATCAAGCTTCCAAGGTAAACAATTGTAATATTCTAACAAGCTATATACCTACACAAGATATGTTTAAACAAGCTATGTAAGTCAATGATATTCTATATCATGCTCAGTCCAATTACCATTTTAAGATGCCTCAAGTACTAATTCTACATCAAATTAGTAATATGCTCACAAGGTGATTAAACGGACTACATTTCAAGGGATTAGCAACCTATAACCTCCGATATCAATTTAAGTGACCAACACACTTAAAATAAAATTAATTAAGCTCATTAATTAATTTTTCTCTAGATTTTCAATCAACTCCAATTAACCTTAATTTAACATATGTTAAAGAACTCACCAAGGCCTACCGTAATATCACATTATAAGTTGATTTCATGCTTGATACAACTATGTGAATTAAACTTTCATAAAAGATAAATATTAAATAAGTTTTGCAATTCTTATTCAAAAGCTCCAAATTTAATATATGTTAACCAACATACCAAGGCCTAATTTACTAGCATGCCACAATTTAATTCTAAACCATATACCATCCTTAGAATTAAATCCTAAACAAAGAAAATAAATAAATTAAATTCTAAAAACTTGAACAAGGCATGCTCACAAGTTGTATATGCTTATAAAATAATCAATATAATAATAATATAAACCTAAGACATCCCCTACCTCATTTTGTGATGAAATCACAAATCTCCACCGAAATGAAACGGCTACGAATCCGACGAAACTCCTAGGTTTTATCGGGGACAACACGATCTACATGAACCCCCAAGAAGCCCCATCAAAATTACAACTTGACTTCAAACCCGAACTTAAAAAAATGCCAAAACGGAATTCCAATTGGTTGGAATAGAAGGCATCGTTAAGGTGAACAATAAACACTAAGGCTTTACCACTTTTCATTCAAGGGAGGAGGTTCAAAAGAAGAGAGAGAAGATGGTAGCCATGGGAGGAAGCTAGGGCCAGCCAAGAGAGGGGAGAGAGAGTGAGAAATCTGATTTTTCACTTAAAGGCCCCCTATTTATAGAAAAACTCAAAAAGTGCCCCGAACGGGTCCCGCCGGGTTCGGAAAAGTGGAATTTGAGCAGACGAGCTCAAACGGTATAACTCCGTGAACCAAAAAGAACTGAAATGAGAAAAAATAAACAATGGAAGAAACGGCGTTAAAAACTGAGTCCCGAACAGAGAGATATGCCCCGGACAAGTTCGGCGGCAACTGGGGTTAAAAACCCAAAAACTGTAGAGTTCGACCATAAGACAATTCTAAGAGCACATGACTCGACAAAATGTGGAAACGAATCCCATACGAGGATTCAAGCCCCAAGGAGACACTTAGCAATTAACTTTCATTAATTACACAAAGGCCTACACAAATAGATAATTGCACAAGTGACCCCAAATGAAAATATCCTCCAAAAGATATTTTCTCAGAAACCCCTGAAATAAAATATCTTCAAAATATATTTACGAAAAACACCCCAAGAAATAAAAATATTTCTGAAGAACTATGCATCCATGCCCCTGTAGTCCTTTCTAGCCGTAGTTCGGCTAGGTATGCTTTCAACCTGGTAGGGCAGCAATTAACCGCTTGGCCAAGTATTCTATCTTCCTTAGGCTTTTCTTCCATAAAAACTTTTGTTTGAAATGTAGCATTGAGTACCGGCCTTGGGTAAAATTGTTGGCCTTGGTGTTCCTTGGAAAAGATCCCTTATGTCCTCTTCGGAAAAAGTTTTTCTCATAATAGCCTTCCTTGGACGGCCCTTGTTATCCTTTCCAATAAATCTAATTGGAACGAATTCTTCACTATATAACTCGGCATCAGCATGGTAAACCCTTGCCACAAATGGCCAATTATCAGCCTCCACCACATTTACCTCATCTCCATCCCAAAATATCAGCATTTTGTGGAGTGAAGATGGAATGCAAAAGTTTAGGTGAATCCATTCGCGGCCTAAAAGCAAGTTATAGGCCGCTGTGGACTCAATGACGAAGAAGGATATGATTGAAGTCCTATCTCCCACCGTTAATTCCAATGGTAGAATTCCTCGTGTCTTCACTATTCCTCCCATGAATCCACTAATGGATACATCGGTTGGAATGATGTCTTCAGGCAACTTTCTAATCATGCGCATGACATTGATTGGAACAATGTTCAATACTGAACCATTATCTACCAGAACTCTTGCCAAAGGTCTCCCTTCCACCAGTACCTTAATATATAGAGGCTTGAGTTGTTGAGTTATGCCATATAGTGGCTTCTCCAAAATAATCTTCTTTGGCGCCGTGGGGCGGTTTTCTTCAATCACAACTCCCTTCAATTTTTGAAGATGTTCAACTTCATCTTCGAAAACCTCTTCTACATGGATATCATTATTTGGTTCCATTATGAATGGACCGGAACTAGACTGTCCAGGGCCTTCCACGGGAAGACTTGTGTCTACTACATCTCCTTCCATTGAAGTTGGCTGATTTAGTTGTGGTTCAAAAAATAAAGGAAGAACCACTACCATATTGCAAGTAAACTTACCCGGAAGGCTGCCAAAACAAATCTTTTTGCTGCTACTGGAACTGTTGGAGATTTCCAAGTCTGTTTCCTCTTTTGTAGGAGGGCTTTCTGTGATCAAGGAATTTCCAACTTCTGAATCCAGATCTAGCAAATCATCAGGATCTCTTTCCTTTCCTTTAGCTTGAAGTTTTAACAAGTCTGATGGCTTAGTAATCTTCTTTGGCCCATTGGACCATCTTTCTCCCATAATTTTCTTCTGTCAAACCTTTTCCTTTGCTGCCTTTGCTTCTGTGTGCAAGTCAAATAAGAATCATCATGAATAGGAAACTTGGGATGATCAAGCCTCTTCCACCTTTCATTTTATGAAGTGGGAGGCTTAACCATTCTTGGATGGAGATGCTCATTCCCCTTTCTGATCCATACTTCCGAAGCCAATTTTGGCCTAGAATATCTGTCACCTTCAGAGGTTCTGCTACGCCAATTGTTGTTTTCATACTTTCTGCTAGGACGAGACCTTACCTCATAAGAAATTCTACTTCTTTCCAAACTCCTTGGAAGGAATTCTGGTTTCCTTGTCGATGACCTTCTTTCTGTATGGACTCAGCTTTCCTTCTCTGGAATGGTTACAGTAACTGTGTTTTCCACCTTTTGGAAGGTTAGCCGGTCATGGACCTTCCTTTTTTGACCTCGGTCGCCATTAGAAAGCTTCTCATTCTGCTTCTCATTTGGAAAATCTCTATGGCAACCTTCATTCTGAATTTTATACTTAGGGCAACAACCTTACTAGATTAAGGCAATCTGAGCCTCTCGGAGTTGCCTATCCAACTCAGCCACTATTTTCTCCATGGATGCTGCCGGTTTAGGAATTTCCAGCTTTCCACTGGTTGCTGGATCTATCAAGTCAACCTTCTTTTTGGGGTGTTTCGAGACTATAGAAGCAACATTTGTTGCAACAACCTTAGGGAAAGGATTTCCATCAACACCCATCACCTCTGATTTTTCTGGAAACTTCAGCCTGCCATCTTCAACTGCTTTCTGCACAATATTGTGAAAAACTACACAATTGTTAGTGGAATGGCTCCACGAATTATGGAATTGACAATACTCTTTCTCAGCCATTTTAGAGGCCATTGGCATCTTGTGGCCTGTTGTGAAGATCAGTTGCTTATCAGCCATAAACAAATCAAAGATTTACTTAGCTATGGAAATGTCAAAAGAGTAACTCCTGGAAGGGTCTGCCCCCTTCCACTTGGAACTAGAGGCGGCCTGCAAGTTGGCCCTGGGTGATTTTGGTTTTGCCAAAGCCTCACAAGTATAGGCCTTCTTTATGTTGGGCTCAACTATATTAACTTCCAAATCTCCCTCTATTTCAGTGGAAAATACTTTATAGTTAAGATCACGATAATAAGTGCCCTTGGAAGAAGACTTACGGTCTTGTTCTTTATGAAGGAGTTCTTCGTACTTAGCCACTCTCCTGGCTAAATCGAATAAATCCTGGAATTGCACTCCTTCAAACTTCTTACGAAGTTTAAATTCCAAACCATTGATAGCCATTTTCATATACTCTTCTGGTGGCAAGGATATATTGCATTTGTATTTAGCCCTTCTGAATTTGGAAAGGAATTTGATCATCGACTCTCCAGGCAACTGATGAAGTCTGGAAAGATCTGCCATAGACACTTCAGGCTCGGTATTATAGAACTGAGTATGGAATAAATCCTCAAATTGCTGCCAACTTTGGATGAAGTTGGCTGGCAAGTTCGAATACCTTCCTAAAAGCATAGCCAGTCAATGTATTTGAAAACAAACGTACCTTCAGCTATGGATTGGCTATTGCTTCTCCATATTGAACAGTGAAACGGCTTATATATTCCAATGTGGATTGTTTGCCCTCTCCATTGAAGGTTGTGAATTCTAGAATTCTGAAATTCCTTGGATACTTAACTTCATCAATGAACTCCGAATAGGGCTTTCTGTAAGATGGTCTTCCACCCCTTCGAGTTAGGCCAAACTCTTGTTAGAGGAATTCTATAAATTATCCTCTATCAAATGCCTTGGGCTGTGGAAGGTTGTTATCTGGCCTCCCTTGAGGTTGGTTGACCCCTTGATGCCCCCCACCTACCATCGGTAGTGGGTTGGTGTTAAAAAGGTTATTCCTCCAATGGTTCTTTCCTCCTTGGTCCTGGAGTGGCTCCCTTGGAAAAGGTTGCCCCCTAACTGCCATAGGAATGGCTATGTGTGGCCTTGGAGGAACAGGTGCGGCTGGCTGAATATTTATAAGTGGAACATTCTGATGTTCTTGAGGAACGTGGTATGGCCATGGTTGGCCAGGCTGATTATGCCATGTTCGTTGTGGGAATGCCACATATGGAGTATTCTGAACTTGCTGAATGGCTGGCACGGGCGCTGGTTGTGGAATGGTCATCTATGCCATAGGAACGGTCACAGGTGCAGTTGGAATATATATCTGTGCCATTGGAAGGGATTGCACCTGCTGCAGAGTTGGAAGGAATGAACCTGTATGTTGTTGAAAGGGACTGCCTTCAATAAAGTAGTCAGCCTACTGAGTTGGAAGGCTAACTGTTGAGTATTTTCAGAATTATTCAGCTGAGGGGCCAAGGATTGTGCCAAACTTCCAATGGACCGCTCCAATATAGACTCAAACCTATGAGAGATTTGGTTTACCATTTCTACTAGTTTTCAATCATTGGCAAGAGTGGCTTTTGCATTATCTTAGCTAGTGTGATACCCCTCGGATCCGAGACACGGGTTGATCACGCCCAAGCCCAAACCCGAAGGAATATCAAACAATTAATATTTTAAAACGAACACGGAATACAAAATAATGAATTAAAGAAATAAATAATAACTCTAAACAAATACTAAATAATAAAATCCTTAAATCATAATAATAAAATCCAACTTCCTAAAACCTCCAATCCATACAACTCGGGAATCCATCCAGTGGACCCCTTATTAAAATCCTAAACTGAAACTAAAACAACTGAAGTAAAATCTAAAGCTAAACATAGAGAGTATTCCTACGTAGTTAGAGGAATGAGTGTCTGTATCTACTCTGCATGTCCAAGTTCTAACCCTGGAACTAACGAACACCTGAAAAATAAAAGAGTGGGTCAGGCCTACATGCAAGTCCGATTCTACTACAATCCAAACAGGAATCCGATACGCAAATACATCCTAGATAGACTCAACAATATCTAGAGTAGTCCATATATGCATATACAGTACATACCATAGGACGCTCGCTAGTCCAATAGGTCTGTCTCAGCCTGAATAGAAGGCAACATGCGAATACGCACCCTAAGGTGGGCATGAGTACTTAGACCTACCAGGGAACAACACTATGTCCAGTTATCCATCCTAAGCTATATACGTGCCCTAACCATGGTCCTGAGACTCAGGCTTATACCATGGCACATATATAATATATATATAAAGTCCGTACTCCTCCTAATACAAAATACCATCCATCTGTGTAGTGGTCTGATATATGTATAACAAATCCATCCTGAAACCATAGTAGGTCATTCAATTCACAATTGATATGACTCAAATATGAGATGTACTTAACCTTTATGGTTAGTCCATAACTCAATCCAAGTTAGGCAAAACACAGTGTTTGAACTAGTCCATACCTAGAATGTCACCGTCCCATACTGGTACATACAATCCTCTAGATAGCATAGTTAAATAAATGACACTATTATATACATCCAACAACCATCCTTCAAAACATGCGTCAATATAAATTAACACATGTATATCAAAACTAGGCAGTCATTAGAGAGCCTAAAAATCTAATTCCAATAATATAAACAGCTAAACAAGTATAAGCTTTCACATCCTCCAGAATATCCATAAACTGATGCAGTTGAATAGCAAAGTCAATATTAATTTGATCCAACACAAGCATGGTTAAATTCAGGTAATCCATGTTACTTATAATCCTATCCAAATATGATTAATTAAAATTAATTCATATAAAATAATCCTCCAAGTTCTAAAGTGTAAACTGATTAGCATTTGCAAAGCTCAACATGTAGGATCTTCCCCTAATTGTACACTATCTATAACTTAATCCATTTATGAATCATTATTTGCTTATAATTTTAAAGGTCTAAAACAATAATATACATCATTTAGAACAATTTAACACAACTGTTAAACAATTAAACAACAAACTATCCCTTAAATAATTTATAAAAATTATTTATAAATCCATATTACCCATTTCCTTTAATATAAGAAGTGTATTATGCTTCCTAGAACCCTCTAAAGTCCATTTAACCCATTTAGATTAATTAAAATAGGTTCCAACACAATTCTGGGCAATTAAAACTAAAATCCAAGTCGCGGCCCAACTTAGTCGGCTCAATTGCCAACTGAGCAGGCTAAGTTGCTAACTTAGTCGGCTCAGTTCCCAACTGAGTCGGCTAAGTTGATGCTAAAGCCGTCTTATTCATCCGTTCAGCCCCTGTAAGCCCCAGAACTCCATTGTTAAGGCCTCTAAGCTTCAACCTACGTCCCATACGTCCATACTAAATTATTATAAGTATTTTAACATGCAAATATTTATCTTAAACAACAATTATGCATTAAAACTTCTACAACCATTCAAAATAAGAAACTGAAACTAAAAACATATACCCTCTATTTTAATCCAGTTAAGCATGCATGATTAAATCAGTTTTATCATGTATTTAAACCCTTGGAGTCTAGCTAGGCATGCACAGAACACGAATTAAAGGGAAAGAGCAAGAACAGAAACTTGCCTTTGAGTTTCAGATTTGAAACTCTAATCCACGTCTCTGAACTTCCAACTTTGTTCGACGCCTCTATTACTCTTGGCTAACCCAGAAGCAACCCACTCCTTCCTCCTTGAGCCTCTCTATTAAACCCTCAAAGTTCCCTCTCTGTTGCTCTCTGTATTCCTCTCTGTAACTCTCCGTTTCACAGTATTCGTGAATAGGCTGAATAGGGTTTGTTTTGTAACCCTTGGTAGACGTATGCTTATGTATTTATAGGTTTTAATCTAAACCCTATATTAAATCCTAAACCAACAACAAGTCGGCTCTAACCCGACTATAATGTATAACATAAAACCCTAATAATGAAGTAGCTAAATTACATTTAAATCACAAAGCCACATAAATAATTAAAATGCTAGAATATAATTAAGTTAAAAAAAACAAAATACAATTTAAATAACCAGTTAAAATAATTCTATTAAAACCATAATAATAAAAGAAAATAAAACACCATTTAAATAAACCAATCCACAAGTAATATAAACAACACAAGACAAACAAGCATGTAATCGATTAAAAATCAAACAATCAATTAAGTCCAACACACAAGCAACTAAACAATTTAAATAATAAAAAATTCAATTCAAATAATAAATTAAATACTAGGACTATCCTTCTGAAATTAGGGGTATTACAGCTAGCCTTAGATTGGTCTTGCACAACTCTGGCTAAGTCTTGGACGACTTTTGCTTGGTCTTACACAAAGATATCTTGTTGTATGGCCATCATGTGGATGTTATCCATGATGGGACCATTTGCCATTGTTTGGGCAAACTTTTCCACCATGTCGTTGTTGTTTGTTGTAAACTGTGAACCTTTAGCTGGAAGTTTACTAGTTTGCAACCCTTCAATCTCGGTAGGGTCTTGGAAAGACTTGCCTTACCTTCTTTCACTGGCCATTGAACAATCTGTCTAGATATCCTACCTGAATACACTATCTGGAATGCGTGGAATGTGGATAGGATAAAATAGTGTGGTGTGCCGGCGTGCCAGGAACTGCAATAGTTCCAAAGTGAAAATCCGAACAGTAATCCAGTTAGAAATTTGTAGGGATAAGGCGATTGTACGAAGGTCTGGAATGACTACCTTCGAAAGGTCTTTTTTGCCTTTGAACAAGGACTTCAAACTATTCTATGGCTAATGGAAATAAAGACTATATTGAAGGTGGAAAGCTGGAAATTAATGTAATTTAAAGTGTAAGACTAGAAATTTTGAGACATAGAAATGTGGTGCTAGGTTGAAGTAACAAATGAGTGTTGGACTTAACTCAAGTGTTATGAGAATTCATCACATGGAATGAATGCTATATAAGATAGAAAACTACTGGATTCAACTTAAAATGATGTA